GTGTGGGTGTGGGTGTGGGTGTGAGTGTGTGTGTATGGGCGGGTGTGGATATGAGTGTGGGTATGGATGTGCGGATGGGTGTGGGTATGGGTCACAGTGGACAGAAAAGGGGGATCAAGAATAATTTCTAGTTGCCAAATCGCTTTTGAATCGAGATTATGTGCTTTATGTAGGTCCTAATGAGCGATGAACATCCTGAAAAAGTTCATGCGGGTGTGGATGTGGGTGAGAAGAAGACCCACACCCAGATACACACCCATACCCACTCCCACGTCCTAAAATTCTTAACTTATTATCATTGATGTTGTGGGAAATGTTCTGCCTTAAATCAGGGTCAACATTCCTTGCAATGCGTTTATCTTTCTTCTGCATCATCTGAAGTTAAAACAGTCTACATTTATTCTGGTTAATGTTGTGAGAGGTGTTCCGCCTTAGTACCTAGGTCGACTCCCTTCGCATTAATTAGAAAAGTCATTCTAAGTTCTCGTCTTTATACGTATATACTTATACATTTATAATTTTATTTATTTATTTATTTATTTAATATTTATCTTCTTCTTTTTCATTTCACCTTGTATTAAACTAACAACAACGACAATATAAAAATTACATAATCATCATGGTTCATCCTTACCATCACCTCATGAAACATCAGCAATTTACTTCAACAGCATTATTCAACATCAAGGTCTCCTATCCTGCTTCTCGACATCTCTCACAATATCATTCCTGACGATACGTTGCAGACAATGACACGAAAGCTCGAAACTTCCCCACCTCCTCGTTTTATTTCTGTTTGAAATAAATATTTAATAAAATGTTATTTACAGCACTTATCTATTTGTTACTGCTCTATTTCCTGGATGTTCCGATGATTTCGCACATGTACATATACGTATCTTATGATCTTCATCCACTGTCCTTCATCTTCCTATTATATCTCTTTCATCTCTATTGGTACTATTTTTCTTTCGTTCTATATATATGTCGTATTGACGTTACACCGATCGACGAAGTTATAACTTTGTCACATTTATACGACGAAGTTATAACGTCGACGATGATCGTCATCGAAGTTACAACTTCGACAGAGAAATAGATTTTCTTTTATTAATATGGTGGAAACATTTTAATATGAAGAGAAGAATAATCGATACCGTTTTAATCATTTTATTGAGACGTTTCGTTATGAACTCATACCATCATCAGTCAAAAGGAAATGAAATGAAATTACAAGACAAGAGAAAGAATAAATAGATAGACAATACGAAGAAAGAGAATAGAATAAAGACACTTATTAAAAGAAAATGTTTTCTTTTAATAAGTGTCTTTGTTCTGTTTTCTTTCTTTCTATTATCTAATATTACCACCGTACACGAGAAGTACGGTAGCAATGCAATGAAATGCTTAACACAATATAAAAGAATTAAACTCAAATACTAAAGACTTGAACAAAATACTGATTCCCTTAGAATATGTCTTATCTATAATATATTACCTAAGTTTATTAGGTTTAAACCTTATAATAAACAATTCGCACGTACACATAAATATCATGAATTAGGTAGATCAATGTTATATAATCTTTTCAAAGAATAAAAGAAAAAATTAAAAAAACTAAATTATAAAGTAATTGAAATTGAAAGTTCTATTAAAAAGGTTGTTAATAATTTGATATGGATTGAAATTGAAACATACATAAATAAACTACTCTTGAAAGGAAAAGGAGTTATAAATATCCGTCATTATAAAAATTTTTTAGCGAGTGTGGATGTAAGTGTGGGTGTGGATGTGGGTGTGGGTGTGGATGTAGGTGGCTGGGTGTGAGGGTGGGTGAGTGTGGGTGTGGGCGGGGATGGGTGTGTGTGTGGGTGGGTGTGGTTGTGGGTGTGGGATGGGCGTGCCTGTGGATGTGGATGGGTGTGCCTGTGGATGTGGGTGTTGGGTGTACGTGTGGGTGTAGGTATTGGGTGTGGGTGTAGGTGTGGGTGTGGGTGTGGGTGTAGGTGTGGGTGTAGGTGTGGGTGTAGGTATTGGGTGTGGGTGTTGGTGAGGGTGTGGATGTAGGGTGTGGGTGTGGGGTGGGTGTGCCTGTGGATGTGGGTGTTGGATGTATGTGTGGGTGTAGGTATTGGTGCGGGTGTTGGTGTGGGTGGGTGGGTGCGGGTTAGAGAGCTGCGGGTTCTTTGAGACCCGGACCCGGGTCTCAAAATTTAGCTTTTGTCGGGTCCGGGTCTATATCTAATTTTAACTTCAGACCCGATCTGTATTTAGTTATGAATCGGAATATATAACAATTGAAATGAACGAATATTGCTTTCTTTCTTATTTTTCAAAGTTTCTTATTACCTATTATCTCTATAATTAACAAAAGTTATTTCAAATAGCAAAAATAAAATCAAGTTGAAAAAACAAATGGGCAATGGAAAAATAAATAATCAACATGACAATAATATCTGTTCGTTACTCTTACATATTAGTACGTTTTAATACCAAAAAATTAATCATTCGTTACTGTTCTTGTTTGTCGATGATTTCTTCATCATTTAATGGATCATCGTCAAAAGTTCGAGCTTTTTTCGTTGTTGATGAGGAAAAAAATAATTCTTCGTCATCATCGATGGCGTCAACGTTATTCGAGCTTGTTAGTGATAAAAGTAATAACATTTCATCTAGTTTTCATTTTTCATGTATGTATAACAACTGTTGACGCTCGAATTCTTTTAATATCAATAGATTTTAATTAAGAAAAAGTAATTTGTTCACCTTCTCGCTATCTAAGTTTGTTCGTCGATTGGAAATAGTATTACCAGCTGTCGAAAACAAACGCTCGATCGTAGTATTAGAGGCTGGAATACTATAAATAGTTTTTACTATTGAAGCAAGAGTCGGAAATGTATCCTGATGATTTT